CTTCTTCTTCTTCTTCTTCTATCCTGTGGTTGGGGCAACCGTGGGGGCACCACTGCATCTGAAAACCAGCTCTCGCCATCTATTTTTGTCCTCTGCTTTCCTCAGATTGTCACCCATCGTCCTTCCTGTCCACTCTGTAATATCCTCCCTTCTCTTTCTCTGCCTTCCTCTCTTTCTATTTCATTGTACGGTTCCTTGCAGGATTCTTTTGGCAAGTCCTGTGGATCTTGTGACATGCCCATACCATTTTAATTTTCGTCTCTTCACTGTGGTCAGTAGATCTTCATGCTGCCCCATTGCGTTGGTGATTCTCTTTCGTACCACATCAATACTTAGATTTTTTAAAAGTCAACTGTTTTATTTAAATAAAGGAGGATGCCATAGAAAAACAGTGCTAGTACATTGTGTTTGAAACACTGAAAGTAATATTTACAAAATATAAAAACTCTAATTTTAGCAATGTATAGTTGTCTGTAAAGGCAACACCAACAAAATGGTGTCGGTGGTCGAGTGGTTAGGCTACTGGACTCGTGATCGTGAGATTGGGGATTCGGGGGTTCGAGCCTCAGTTCGGTCCGACGTTGTGTCCTTTGGAAATCAACAAACTTTGGCGGCCATTCTCTCGCTTATTTTACTTCTAAAATAAGGCGAAATCCTCCTCCTTCAATCGCAATACATCTCTCGACCTCTCCTCTCGACTTCTGTTCAAGATAGATGGGTATTTTTTCCATCGAAAGCAAGATAGACAAACAAGTTTAATGTTAATACAACTCCACGACATGCTCAAAAATTGACGAGCGCCTGGTTCTACCGCGTCGTGATACGTATTTCAAAGCTCTCTGATGGCACATTCATACTGCGTAGATTCCTCAGCCGCTGTCCCTTGTCCCATAATCTGACCTGAGAAGTGGTGGTGGTAGGGTGGGAGGTGGTGGGGGGTGGGGGTGGAGTCATGTGTCACCGTCAGTTCCCAGTGCCTGAGGTGGGAGAAGCCTGGGCGAACGGTATGATGGTTCAGCCAGAAGGAAGAATAGAGAAAGAGTGCCCCGTACGACACGCACGACTGAATCTCTAGTCCCAAATAACTGGCTGGTGTAGTGTGTGTATAATATAATATATTATATATACGTACCTGTACGTTCGAGGCTTAAAAGTAAAAGATTGTGTTTGACGTTTGTGTGTGTGTG